CTATAGGCGCCGAGCCTATTTATTTATTTTTTGAGACAGAGTCTCATGTTGTCACCTTTGGTAGAGTGCCATGGTGTCACTGCTCACAGCAACCTCAAACTCTTAGGCTCAAGTGACCTACGCACCTCAACCTCCCAGAGTGGGATTACAGGCGTGAGCCACCATGTCAGGCCTGGCTAACACTTTTTAAAGATAATCTGCACATAATAAAGTATATTTTAAGTGTACAATTTGATGAGTTTTAATCAATATACACACCTTGGTAGCCCCCTTCCAATCAAGATAAAAACCATTTCTATGGCTCCAGAAAGCCTCTCTCCCTGCATCTTTTACCACTTAATTTCTACCACACCTTTTTTTTTTTTTTTGAGACAGAGCCTCACTTTGTTACCCTTAACAGAGTGCAGTAGCATCATAGCTCACAGCAACCTCAAACTCTTGGTTCAAGCCATTTTCTTGCCTCAGCCTGAGTAGCTGGGACTATAGGCACCACCACAATGCCCGACTACTTTTAGAGATGAGGTCTCACTCTTGCTCAGGCTGGTCTCAAACTCAATACACCCACCTCGGCCTCCCAGAGTATTACATTACTTTTTAAAATCCAAACAATAATGGAAGGCAATTTCCATTTTGTGGATTTGGATGCCATGGCCCAGAGAGGGTCAAGTCACTTTTTAAAGCCAGGAGGTGAGTCAGTAATGGAGCAAGTGAAAGACTTGTCCTGGCTGGCCTAGAGCCCATCATGCTTGGTATATTTAGAGTTATGACATATTAAGTTGTCAAGGAAAGCCCCACCTCTCTCTTTAAAAAGTACAAAAGGCTCTGAAATATGAGAGGTAACGTGTGGTTCAGGATGTGGGAATCAGACCTATGTTTAAGCCTCCAACCGTACCACTTGGTAGCTATGAGAGTTGGGTGATAACTGAGTCTAGTCCCATTCATCAAACAGGGACAACAGCTTAGCCTCCCCAGCAGTGCTCAGCAAGGGCCCCTGGCTCAGAGGAAACACTCAAATGATTATCATTTAAGAATGCTCTCAAAGTCTCAAATTATCTTCTTCTCTTTGAAAACTGCTTCCAGCTCTAATGACAGACTGAATTACTAAGAGATGAAGGCAGAAACCATCCTGATCTAGCTTGAGACTACAGATTGGAAAAAGCTCTGAATCTTTCTGGAGCCCTCCTCCTCTAAACATCAGCCAACTGACTAGGATAAGCCATTAGAGAAAAAGTTCTGCCTGTGTTCATGTCCCTGAGCCCAAGTTACAGTAAACTGAGGGCCCAAAGAAGATGACAATAAACCTTTCCCTGCTATTTGTTTTAGAGGTTTTTGATCTCATTATTAACGAAGTTGGGGAAGTAAGGCAGGAGAGAGTAAAATTGGTTATAAGAAACAGAGGTAGGCTCGGCGCCCGCAGCACAGTAGTTACAGTGCCAGCCACATACACTGAGGATGGCAGGTTTGAACCCGGCCCGGGGCCAGTTAAACAACTACAACAAAAAATAGCTGGGCATTGCGGGGGGTGCTGTAGTCCCAGCTACTTGGGAGGCTGAGGCAAGAGAATCACTTAAGCCCAAAAGTTCTTTTTTTTGTTTTTTGTTTTTTTTTAGGACAGAGCCTCAAGCTATCCCCCTGGGTAGAGTGCCATGGCATCATAGCTCACAGCAACCTCCAACTCCTGGGCTCAAGCGAGTCTCCTGCCTCAGCCTCCCAAGTAGCTGGGACTACAGGCGCCTGCCACAACGCCCGGCCATTTTTTGGTTGCAGCCATCGTTGTTTGGCGGGCCCGGGCTGGGGATTCGAACCTGCCACCTTAGGTGTATGTGGCTGGCACCTTAGCCACTTGAGCCACAGGCACCGAGCCAAGCCCAAGAGTTTGAAGTTGCTGTGAGCTGTGATGCCACAGCACTCTACCATGTGCAACATACTGAGACTCTGTCTCAAAAAAAATAAAAGAAAAGAAAAAGAAGAAGAGGTAAACCATATTTGAGATACTGGTTAAGGGTTTTATTTAATCAGAAGTTTATTCCAGTTAGGTGGGTAAGTCTAGGCTTCTCTCCTTCCCATCTCCCTGAATATACTGTTGCTGATTTTAAATAGTGATTCTGACGCTGGCATGGTAGCTCACACCTGTAATCTTAGCACTTTGAGAGACCAAGGCAAGAGTTATCGCTTGAGACCAGGAGTTGGAGACCAGCCTGGATAAAATAGCAAGTCCCTATAGACACATGAAGAGTAAAAAAAATTACCTGGGCAAGATAGTGCGTGCTTGTAGTCCCAGCTACTCGGGAGGGTGATATAGGATGATTGCCTGAGCCCAGGAGTTCAAGGCTTCAGTGAGTTATGATTGTGCCACTGCACTCCAGTCTGGGCAACAGGGAAAGACCCTGTTTCTAAAAACTAAATATACAGATCCCCGCTTGCCATTTGGTGACACATTCTTCTCTTACTTGTGAAAATTCTGATGTAATTGGTCTAGAGTGCCACTGAGGCAACAAACGCTTTCAAAACTGCCCAAGTGATTCTAATGCCAGCCAAGACCCACTGTTCTAAAAGTATTATATCCCTTAATTAGGCTACAATTAACTCCATGGTCTGTGCCCAGCAAATTCCTAACTCACTTACACATAAAAACAAACTGAAGCACCATAAACAAAACCAAGCCCCCACTTCATAGCTTCAAAGCTAGAGGCAACTACATGCATGTTTGAAAAAATAAAAATGAGGTGAAAGAAGAAAATTTTTGACTTGAAAGGAGATTCCAAACAAGTACAATAGAAAAAGGGACACCAAATTCTTGATCCTGTATCACTTTATTCTAAAACTGTCCCATTTGTGTGTGTAAGGAAAACTAGATTTTGAGTCTGACAGACCAAGACTGCAATCCAGTTCCACCACTTCGGCCAGATGTTCAAGGAATTCTAACCCATGTGTCAGTTTCCCAACTTACAAGGTGGAGTAGATTATTAAAGCCATAATCTTCAAAATAACCCTCAGGGATTGAATGTTAAGGTATCTGGCACCTGTGTTTTTGTGTTGTTTCCCTCTGTCCCCCAAGCTTTTAAGACCAGTGGTTCCTTCCTCTGATTACTAGAATCACCAGGGTGTGCTTAAAACACTAGTAACTGCCGGGGCTATTCCCCGGACTAATTAATCAAAATCTTGAAGACAGGAAGGGTTGGCAGATAAGTCACTAGTGTTTAAATAGCTCTTCAGGTAATTCTGATGTGGGGCCAGGGCTCAGTGCTACTGAGCTGAAGTTTTTGTTTAACCAGCTTGATCTAAGAATTGACCAGGATGTATGACAAAAACATATGGGGGAACATATGGGGGGATTCTTACAGCAGAGAAGTTTTTAAAATACTGCATTGAGGCTAGCTATAAAACTTTTCCCAAATGAGGGCATATCTACAACTCAGAAAAGTTTGTTTCATGTCAACCTAACTAAATCACACTGGCCAAATAACTGTAGCATTATGTAGTGGCCAAAACTTGCTTATAAACAGGTACTACCTATTTCAAGTGCTCCAACAAATAACCCCCTTTTCTTGCATTCACCACATAAACTACTGGCGTACTTCTCTCAACAGTGTGGTGAGGAACATGTTTATCATCATTGTCATTTTTTTATGGGAGAAAACTAAGAATCAGAACTCTAAGGGCCCTGACTTCAACTCTCACGCACCTTTCATTACATAGCCCAAATCAAGAAATCATTACTCTAAACCCCAACAGTTGGATGCCCCCAGCTTGTATGATCTAGTAGTCTATGGTACAGCTTGAAAATAAGACCTTTTACAATTCTTTTTCCTTATGAGATGGGGTCTGTCTCACTAGGTTGCCTTGGCTGGCCTGGAACTCCTAGGCACAAGCCATCCTCCAGCCTCAGCCTCTTGGGTAGGTGTACTGCTCCTAGCTTGGCTCACTTAATAAGTCACAATTTGAGAACCACTGGTTTATGCCATCTTCTTCCCTTTAGGTGGTCCTTATTTTGCACAAAATGGAGATCAGTCAGATACAAGCTGACTCATTTGTCTTCAGCAGTATCACTGGGACTGACCTTCCCTGAAGACTGAAGTTGTCAGGGAAATGACAAACAAGCAAATAAGTAGAAAGATCTGGGCTGATCTTTGGTCATCCCCACTTAGGAACAAAGAGCTATTCATGCAATAGACTCTTTAAGATCCCAAACACACAGAAACCTTCCCATAGCTGATAGTATGAGCCGTCCTCCGCTTCTTCAGGCGTTGCTACCTCGGATCTTAATGAAAGTGACTGGATTTGTACCTAGGCGCCAGACTATGTGGCTAAGGCATCTGACCTCAGGCGACTGGCATCCCTCCCTGGAATTTCAAGCACTGAACGCAAATCTGCCTATTAGTTCCCTCTACTTCTTTCCACCATTCGCCCGCGTGTTCACGCACCTGGGAGCCCCTTCCCCACTTTCATGAACCCAGTGACATCAGCCATAACTTTCGAAACCCCAAAAGCTCTGCTCCAAGGAAGCCCAATTCACTTTCTCATAACCTACCCATTTTCCTTCGCAATCCTCCAAATCCTCATTTTCCATCCCAAATATTCATTTTCAATGACATCTCTTTGTTCTCCTCACAATCACCCACTCCTATCTCTCTAACAATCACTCAAGACTCACCCACACTAAAATCTACTCCTCGAGTCTAAATGCCCTTTCCCGGATTCCAACCGTCAAGGACCCCCTGAACGCCCACACTGCCCTTCTCCACCCAAAGCCCCTCCCCCACCTCCGGCCTCGCAGCCACCCAATCCCCCAACTGCCTCTCCTCTATCTCGACTGCCCCTCATCGCACCCCCTTCTTTCGGTCCCTTCCACTTATACTCTGTTGCTGTTCAGCTTCCTCGGTCGCCCAGAGTCCCAAGCCGGCGGACACCGCCCTCCTTACCATGAAAAGTCGGAGGACGCCCGAGTCTCCAAACCCGGACTGAGAGAGGCAGGAAATACCCAATTTACGCGAGCCAGGGGCAGGGGCGGGGCCGGGGCGGGAACTTCCGCTGTCTGTTCCCCACTTCCGCCCCTCGGAGTGCTCTGTCCTAAAATATCCTTCAGTGCCTGTAGACGCTGGTTGCTTTCTTTCCAACCTCCCTGGCCAGAATGGATTCCAGCTGCACTCGGCTGGATCAGGCTTTTTTCCTTCTGTGATTTTCAGTGGCCAGAGAAGAGAACATAATGCAGAGAAGTCTTCTTTCCTGGGCGAAGAAGCTCTACGGAACTGTTGTTTCCCGGAACCAGATACTTGCTTCCAGGCGGAGTTCTGAAAGACAACACCCCGGGGCAAGATGGCGGTCGAGCCTGGGCCGCTGCCCCGGGTCTGCTCGGGGGTTTTGGGCTGAGGCGGCTGCAGCTGCATCCCCGACTCCGAGCACTGGGGCCTCGAGCGGATAAAGGTCTACGGCCTGTGGGTAGCGAGTAGGAATAGGGTCTCCTGTTCTCCGGGTAGTGGGGTGGAGCCCGGGACTTCGAGGGAGGTGGCTCTGGGGTCGAGTCCCTGCCTGGCCACATTCAGAGAGGCAGGTGCTGGGGGCTGGTTTTCGTGCTCCAGGGGGTCTCTCCGCCGCCCTTTCCACCTCTTCTCTCCTTTGGGGCCATAGGCCTTTATAAAAAGACTAATGCTAGGCGCAAAGGATTTGTTACTGTGGTTGTTGATGCCGAGGAAAGACGCGGAGCCTCAGGAGTCACTCAAACTGGAATTCGAATCCTTTTCTCTCGCTGTGTGACCTTCGGTGAGTTCCCTCACCTCTCTGTTGGTAAAGTTAGGAAAGCCTGCCTAACTTTCCACCTCTGTAAAACGGACCTATTAGCTGGTTTCACAGAGGGTGTTGTATGATATGATTTAGTACCCTGCCTGACATTTAGCCCTGAATAAAGAAACATTTGGTTAAAAAAAAAAAAAAAAGAAAAGAAACATTTGGTCGTAATTTGACTAGTTTTGCCCACGGGCAGCCTTGCATTCTCAGCTCCTTTTTGCTTTGCTGTTCTGAATCTTGTCTGTTTTATTTACCAATAAAGAATTGCTTTCCAATTAGGCGTGGGTTCAAATTCGGGAGCCCAGCGACCTCTCACAAGTCTTGTCTCTGCTTTTCATTTTCTTCATGTGAGGATAGAATTGATAATAGCACCCACCTAGATGGCTGTAGCTTTCAATAAATGTCTTGACGTCTATTCTTTTTTTGAGACAGAGTCTCACTGTGTCACCCTCGGTAGAGTGCTGTGGTGTCACAGCTCACAGTAACCTCAAACTCTTGGGCTTAAGTGATTCTCTTGCCTAAGCCTCCCAAGTAGCTGGGACTACAGGCGCCTGCCACAATGCCTGGCTATTTTTTTGTTGCAGTTGTCATTGTTGTTTAGCTGGTCTGGTCCGGGTTGCAACCGGCCAGCCTCCGTGTATGTGGCTGGCACCGTAACCACTGTGCTATGGCGCCCAGCCCTGTTGTTTATTATTTAAATAGTACTTGGACTATTGAGACCTGATAGAGCTGTTGAAAAGATAGAGTTCATTGTGTATGTAATACCTAACATGGTCTGCCTTTATACCTTGGTGGTCATTGAACTTGGCGGCCCACCCGCTGTGTACAGGGATATCTTCTGGGGCTCAGTCAGCAGTTAGTATTTGTGTCATTTTACCTTTGGAAAATACTTTCTGGACTATGATGTGCTTTTGTAATTCTCCATATAGTTGGTCTCACCCAGAAAAGACTGATTTTTGAGCAGCTCTCATGGGAACATTGAGATGAAGAAGAGTCTGAATCCTGACCATTAGTATTAAAAATCTTGTCTCTGCCACTTACTAATGGCCTCAATTGGACTAAAGGAGATAATAATAATAGTAAGATTTCTGTCATTAAATGAGATCACTTAGAACTTGACATGTAGTGGGTACTCAACTTATTTTCCTTTTCAAATGATCTTGGTTATTGCCAATCTCAGAACTACCTGTAGTTCTTGTTCCCCTAACTGGATTGTAAACTTCTTTTTTTTTAATTTTTTTTTTATTTATTTTTTTATTTTTTGGGACAGAGCCTCAAGCTGTTTCCCTGGGTAGAGTACCGTGGCATAGCTCACAGCAACCTCCAACTCCTGGGCTCAAGCGAGTCTCCTGTCTCCGCCTCCCAAGTAGCTGGGACCACAGGCGCCCGCCACAACGCCTGGCTAAACTTCTTAATACAATACAGTAAAGCTCACTTACATGCTGTATACTTTCAGATACTACTTAATAATATTTTCCCATAATTTTGATGTTGTGATTACTATGATTACTAAACTGAGGTTCAAAAAGGCTCTATGTTTCATTTACTCCTTTTTAGCATACCTAGGCTGTAGGTACTATTATTATCATCAATTTACAGATAAGGAAACTGAGGCAAAGAGAGGATAAGTAGCTTGGGTAAGTGACATGGGCAATCAGGACTAGAAAGAACCCAAGAACTACTTTCTCTGATTCAAGGTTTTTTCTGCTGCACACAGCCTTTTCTTTTATTCTCCATGACATTTTGCACTGCTTAATACTTGATTATATGTTTTATTTGAACTGTAGTACACACCATATGGGTGGAGGACATCTGTAGGAAAGAATGAGAAAACCTTTAGAGCATAGGCTATTACATGCTGTAAACAGAAACCAACAAATAACATTGCTGAGGGGAAGATAATCTTCAAGAAGGGATCTTGAAAGGCCCCTGAGAGAAGTGAATGTTTTGAGATAGTCTTATAGGTACTTAGGCAAAGTTTGCATGCAACTTTGTTTTTCCATTTTTGCCTCATCCTCGTGTAGTTCCCGACAATGAGGGACTATCTGTGTGTTATGGGAGAGCATTTCATTGTGTACCTGGCTTGGGCCCTACTGCTTTGTTGCTATTCAGGGGCTTGAAGCTGTTACCCCGTCACAGCAACAGGGCCAGGGTTTCACAGCTGAACAGAAAGAATTAGTGAATCTTTTAGTGTAGTCTGGAGTAGGAAAAAATTTAATGAATGAGGAATGTCAAGGTGCCAACATTTCCTACCCAAAGAACCTTAGTGACTGTGTAGATGGGAGCCTCTGCTAAAGAGTGTAAAAAAGAAAATTCTTGTGTCTATAAAAATAATACATCAGTTAGACTTCTTGACTGTGTATTGTCAGCACCCTTAGGTGCTTGATCTCATCATCTTTAGTGCTCATGAACAGCCTCTGAGCTGATACGAATACAGACTGGGACTCTCTCTTTCCAGCCTGTGGCAGAGCTAGGGACTAGCTTCAGCTGTGTTTCTCCAAAGACTGTATGCCTCTCACTATGCTGTGCTGCTTCACCATGTTGCCTTCTGGAGAAAATTTAAAAAATAGAGACCAGTTAAGAAATGTCCTACAATTGCACTATCTCAAAACGACCACTCTTAACATGTTGGTATATTTGTGTCTGTGCACATGCATTTTTCTCTTTCTTTAGGTAATTGGGATCATATTGGTTCACAGGCAGCCCTTTTTTCTCATAAACATTTTTCCGTATAGTTAAAAATGTCAAACATAATTTTCAGTGTTTTTTTAGCATTCCGTCATCTCTGTGTTTTATATTTGCTAACCAATATAGCTTTAATTCAGACAACTTCTTTGATATTATTTTCGACCTATCCCTTTTAAACCATGAAGACTGAGGAAATACAGTCTATCATTTAGACCAGGCATTAACTAAAGAAGATATAAGTAGCATTTTTTAAAAACTATTGGGCCAGGCACAGTGGCTCCCGTCTATAATCCCAGCACTCTGGGAGGCTTAGGCAGGCGGATCACCTGAGCTTACCAGTTAGAGACCACCCTGAGCAAGAGTGAGCTGCTGTCTCTAAAAATAGCCAGGCAGTATGGTGGGTGCCTGTAGTCCCAGCTACTCGGGAGGCTGAGACAAGAAAATCGCTTAAGCCTAAGAGTTTGAGGTTACTGTGGAGCTATGATATTATGGCACTCTAACATGGGCAACAAAGTAAGACTGTCTCAAAAAAAAAAAAAAAAAAACTATTGGCATTGTATCTGTTAGTTTTACTCAGGAAGATAAGTAAACTTAACACTAAATCTGGAATTTTTTCTTCTGTTAGAAAAAAGAAGCCCCTCTAAAGTGAGACTCTGTCCTCAGCTGTGAGTCCTGTACAAGATCACTAATGGTTACCTGGCATTTGTGCAACACAGGCAGGTCCTCAGGTGAGCGCTTTAGACTTCCACTGTTGGGGTCAGAAGAGTAGATGGTTCAGGAGACAGCTATCTTTTTCTCCAATCTTTCTTAATTTTTTTGCGACAGTCTTGTTGTGTTGCCCTTGGTAGAGTACTGTGGTGTCACAGCTCACAGCAACCTCAAACTCTTGGGCTTAAGCAATTCTCTTGCCTCAGTCTCCCAAGTAGCTGAGGTGCCCACCACAACACCTGGCTATTTTTTGGTTGTAGTTGGCCTGGGCTAGATTCAAACCTGCCAGCTCCAGTATATGTGGCTGGCGCCCTAGCTGCTGAGCTACCAGCACCGAGCCTCTCCAATCTTTTTATTTTTAGAGATGGGGGTCTTGCTTTGTCACCCTGGTTGAAGTGCAGCAAGACAATGATAGCTTGGTGCAGCCTCCAACTCTTAGGCCCAAGTGATCCTTCAGACTTCTAGGTAGCTGGGACTACAGGCATACACTACCACACCCAGCTAATTTTTTTTTTTATGTTTTTAAAGATGGGGGGAGGTCTTGCCATTTTTCCCGGGCTGGTCTTGAACTGGTGTCAGCCTTCTGAGTTGTTGGGATTGCGCGTGAGCCATTGCATGTGGTTCTCTCCAATCTTTTTATTGTCCTTTCTATGGTTAATTTGTTTCAAGAATTATAAAAGACTCACATTTTGGCAAAGCCCTCGAGTTTGTCAGATGTGAATCATTGTTGAGAAGGGGCCACAGAGGTCCTTGATAACTACGTGTGGCAGGAGCCTAGTACAAACCTTTTATTTTGGATGATGTTTTCAACCTGGTAAACAGATTATTTGCCAGAGGCTGGATTTCTGAA